CTACACACGAGTATCACTTACACAGATAGCATGTTCTGTTTTCCTGTCTTTCCTTTAGGGCACAGTTGACATCTTTTTTTCTTCCTGTTGTCATAGTAGGTCTTTGGGGTGCCGCACCTGCCTTTTCACTTGCCCGCTCACCAATGTGCTCCTTTTGTTTTTTTGTATAGTTCTCTGAGCAGAAACATTTCATTTTTCTTCTGCTATAAATGCTCTCCTATGAGTTCTAGTTCCAGTCCTCTAAGAAAATATTTCTGTGATATTTTGGGCTTGGTATTTCTTTGTAAGCTATCAAACTATGCCATACATGTTTAGGACTGAGTAAAGCACAAACTTTGGCCATTTTTTTGTGTTTCAAGTGACAGCATAGCTGCTGCATAATTCATCAATAACATCTATTCTGCCTTAGGTCTTGTGGTAGAAAGTTTGCACTCAGGTTTCTGTTTTGCTGAAGCTTTCCTATCAGTATTTCCATCATGTTACAATGTTGACATCGGCAGTACCAGTTTGTTTTTCTTTGCTGTATACAATACCAGTGTAAATCTTTCTGAAATCTCAAGATTGAGCTATACAGTTCTCTGTTTTGAAATTGTAACATTTCATTCAGAATTTTTTTTTTTGTTCCTCTGTACAGTTCTTGTCCTTGTCAACTTGTGCACTATTAGCAAAGGTAACATCAATTGGAAACTGGTAAACCAAATATCCAATGTCACATTCAGATTAACTTCGGAGATGGGAGCAACAAGTCTATTCACAATTTAATCCAATGTAGTAGTATATGAATAAGGATCTTATGGCTGAGTTCCAGTATAAATTTCTAAAATTAAAGCATAACTCTTTGCATCTGCAAGGAATACATTTTTTTTGAGACATGGTCTCACCATGCAGTTCAGGAAGGCCTTGAACTCACTATGTAGCTGAACCTTGAACTCACAGTGATCCTCCTATCTCAGCCTCCAGAGTGCTGGGCTTACAGGTGTACACCACCATTCCTGGCTAGGGAATACATTTTTAGGCCATATTTTGACTCATCACTTTTCCATCAGTCTTTTACATTCTTATGAACACCACAAGAAATCCCTGCTAAGTACACCAGACCTGTGAATGCTTTCAGTTCAGCTACTGAGATACCATAGCAAAAACATTTTTTAATTTGACTGTTGGTGCATACAGAACATTTTACTTGTTTTTCAGCGTTTGTGTGTTTTACAGCATCTTGAAGCATTTCATCTATTACAATTTCCAACATTAAACTGCAGTGCTGGTGTTCTGTCCAATACATTTCACCCCTGCCAAGACCTTCATTATATTTTTGGACCTAGTTCTAACATTGGATCATTCCATTTGGTTGTGTGGCCATTTTGCAACATTTCAACTAGTCAAATATGTACTCACATTGCTGTTCTCGTCATCATCTGAATCAAGGAGGTCTGTGTTCCCTGTGTCTGGATCAATCGATTCTTTCTCCATTTCACTGTCACAGGAACTTTGGCTCACATGGCCAACATCAAAGTTATCTTTATCATCATCATCATCACCACCATCATCATCCATCCATACCACTCTTCTGTGAAAACACATATTTTACTATAATGGATTGTCTTCATTATCCACACGTGAGTGATCTGATGATTCACTTTTGACCTCCTCCAAAACTTGCAGATCTGGTTTTTCATGTGCCATTGTACTGAATTGGACTACTTCCAGAAAAATCAAAAGAAAACTTTTTTCAAAACCAATCCTAGAGTAGTGTGGGTGTGTTATACCCCTTGTGATTCTCAGGTAAACATGCACCAAATCTATTAGGCAGAACATAATATCAGTGAAATTTCTGGTTTGATACTTTTGCACATGTGCACACACCTTACCTTGTGCACACACAAAGACTGATTTCTGTATCCTTCTGGAAAAGGTATTTAGAAACACAATTCACTATATTACACTAAGGTAAAAATTTACAGTAAAAAATTAAAAGATGTATTTGTGGATCCCAGTATTACACTCTTTTAGAAAAGAAAAGCAATGAACACACGTGCCATAGTTTTGCCACCACTATTCCAGCTTTTCCGTGTTTTATAGATTCCTAAATATACACTCTCACAGTCTTACACATTCATTGGTTATGATAGTTTATTTTCACCTCACATACCACTGCATAAAAGAGGTTATTAAATCATTTGGGTATCTTAAAACTGGGAAGTTTTGATTATGTTTATAAATAGAAAAACAGATTAAATTTTATTTAGTGGAACTGGTTCCCTGAAATTAATTTTTATTGAAATTATTGGAATTATATGTTCAAGTTTCAAAAACTGGAGAATCTTAAAATCTGATCTTCACACTGTTATAAAACGGTATACGAAGCATATGATAACGGAATTTAAGAGAAAAGAGAGTAAGAAACCATCCTCATGTCCCTTGTTTTTAGTCTTGACATCATGAGTTTGTGTTGGTGGAAGTTTGAGAATTGTAGATTTTAAAATATGTATGTATGTTTTTTTTTCTGAGTTAAGAAAGAGAGGAAGTTTATTCAATTAGATTTCAGATGGACCCCAAATAGGAAAATAATGTGGCACAATAGAAAATGCTAAGGAAACTTCCCTATAATATTTAATTGAGACACTCTTTCTAAACATGGCACGCAAAATCTAGTTGGTATAAAAGAAAATATTTACAAGATTTAATCCGTGGAATTTTATAACAGTAGTATCCTAAGAAAAATGATTTGATGGTAGACAGCACATTTCTCAAAGAGAGCTAAATTTTAATGCAAACATTGGCCCTTTCTGTGGCCAGGAGGAAAGCCAACGACCCATGAGAAAACAAATAGGAATGGAATATGGAGAGCAGGGTACACAACAGGAAAGACAACTGATAGATTAGTAAGTGCACCTGCACATGCTGCCCTATTCTGCCCTCACTCAGAGCTTCAGGAAATGAAAACAGACCCCTAAGAAATTCTCTTCTCTTTTCTACTGCAGAGACACATTAACAAATTTTACAGTGTTCAGGGTGAAATAGAGAGAGTTGAGAGGAGCATGTCCACCATGATACTTGGTGCAAAATTAATACCCAAACCTCCTAACTCCTCAGTTCTCTGGAAGGATTTTGTCATATATTACACCTATACCAGGATGAGCATTGCTGCCTTGCTTTTAAAAAGGAGAAATTTAAATAAGTATTGTTTAGTCCAGAAAATGGAAACTATAACTAATGAATAGAATAAGGAAGGGCCATATTTATTGATGAGAATAGTGTGATGATATATAACTAGGTGTAAGCAGCAGAATGTAATGCATTATATATAAGCACACTTGTGCATACTGTGTGTAGTGATATATTATCTACCATATGTTATAAAATCACATATGAACAATAATTAAAAGTTATACATTGTGTATGTAGATATGTGCGTAATAGAGACATGCAGCCTTGTATCTGTATATAGAGAAATATCTCCAGAATATTTAGGTTAGCAAGAATAGTGCCTACTACTGGAGAAGAAAGGCTTTTACTTTGCGCTGTGCAACTGCTTCGTTCGAAATTTCACCAGGAAACAAAATGGATGCACACGGCCATGTATCAGTTTGAGGTTCTAGTGTCATGCCTTTCCACACTTGCCTAGCTCTATTACTGGATAACAGCTTTTTTTTTTTTTAACTCTTTCTATTTGAATTTCTTTAGCAAGCTAATAAAGAATAATAATATAATAATTTGAAAACTGATAGTCTTGAACCACTCTCTCTCTTGATTTATATCTCCCTTAGATGTGTAAGAGAGATATAGACCCCTACTACAGTTTCTTCATCTTAAAATAAGAATAAATGTAGTATTTAACTGAAATGCTGTAGTTATAGGTTTGTAATGGGGATTAAATGACGTGATACCGGTCGAGTTCCTAGACCAGTGCTTTATATGTGGTTAATCTATTAATGTGTTAACTTTGACTCTTGTATTATTAATACTGACAACTTCTTTATACTACCTTCCTGTGTCACTGTGTAGTAGTTAGCTGTGATTCTCGTCTTCCTCCTGGTGAGCTGGTAACTCTATAATGTTTTTCCTCCTGTGATTGGCATCCCACCTCTAAAAAGAGGCCACTAGCACTTCCTCACTGGCGCGGGAGTGTTTCTGATGTCCATTTCCCACGGTCTGACTTGCTGGCCCTTTCAGAGAGCTTCCAGATGTTCACTGTGATGTCTCTTGTGTATTTTGGGCTCTGTGATCTCTGCCTTCCTCCCCTTTCCCTCTTCACCTCTCCTGTGTGTGAGGTAGTGGCCAACATCTTCATGTAGCAATATCCATCTTGTATATAAAATAATCACCATGTACAAGTTCTGATATAATACTCTAGATGTAGCTGCATGAATCTACTATTAAATTAAAAATTTAATACATTTTAAAGCTGCAGTATTCAAAAGCAAGGTGTCTCTGTTATAGTTAATTAGAACCAACTACGTATTAGATGTACTTTCTTGTCCTTGAGGCACTTTTTCAAAGTTTCGAAATTTTCCTTGGTTATCTCATCAGTAGAGTCCTGATGACAGTTATGATGGTTCTGCGGATAGGGAAAATAACGTGAAAATACTAATATCTGCCTATCAGAGACGGCTACATAATATCAGAATTGGATTTATCCTCAAAAGTTCAACGAATTTTACCTGTTACTAAGGAGATGAGAAGATCATGGTTGTGGTGAGGATGATGGTGATGATAACTATATTATCTTTTTTGAGCTTTGCAAAATTGATTCTGGGTTCATTCATGTCACCTAAATGTTCCTGTCAGCACACTTGGTCATCTGCCCTGTATATGAGATATAATATACATAATTCAACGCAAACAAGCAATTGATGGTTAACTCGACACTGGTGTGTGCAGACAGCTAAATGAGAATCACTAGTGATCAGAGCTGTCACACAAGGGCCAGGCTGGCCTTGGCTTGCCTGGTGTTGGAGAGTTAAAGCTGCCTCTCTTGACCCTTTGCCTTGTGTTTCCAGCTCCTGCATCGGGGCCCAGGACCCTTACTGTGGCTGGGACGTCGTGATGAACAAGTGCACCAGCCTGGAGGAGAGCCTCAGCATGACGCAGTGGGAACAGAGCCTCTCAGGCTGCCCGGTATGCCCCGCCCTGTCCAGGTTTCGGAAGTACCACCCGCAGGATCCAGGTCCTCCTGACCACCCCACTAGCGCATCCCACCCCTCTTCCCCCAAAGCTTGCAAATCCAGGCTGCCTTTTCGAAACACTTTTAACACTTGGCTTGTCCAGGGGCCACTAGGATGCTGTCACACACTTTGTGTCCGCTTGAACTGTCTTAACAGAAAACCACTGCTGATTTGATCTCAGAACATAATACCTCTGACTGATTCTGGGAAGTTTTTCTCTGCAGAGTTAGCGTGGACTCTTTGGCCCTTTTAGCACTAATGAAATGGGAACTTCCACACCCACACATGTCCCTTGGGTGCTATAACTCCAGAAGCTGATATGAAGAAAGACTTGAAAGGGAAAAGAGAAGGATATTAGTTTAACCTCATGTGGGGCAGATTCTCAGGCCCTGCTGGGGGTCACAGGCCGGCCTGGGAGAAACAGCCTGATGTGCGTTTCCACGGTGAACCGGAATAGTGAGGAGAAACTCACCTGAACTTAGAGCCAGACCTTGAATCCAAGCAAAGCAAATCTAGTTTCCTTTGTTTGTCCATTTACATCGGTCCTCATTTGTAGGAACCAGGTTTTGTTTGCCGTTAAAACTCCTCATCCCATGATTTCCAGTTCTCCCGTCTGTCCTTGCAGCATAAACAACAAATAACAGCTATTAACTTGCTTGTATCTGCGAAGTTTCAAAGTCACTTCACCAGCACCTAGCTGCGATCTCCACTAGTCATTCTGGGCATAGCTGTGCAGGATGGGTGGGGAGAGAAGGCGCACATCCTCAGATGAAGCCCTTACTGTTTCCCCGGTACATTAGAATTGCCCAAGACCTCTGAGCTGTGTTTCCACTTGAAGAATCTGCCCTTGCCTTGATCTAAGCCATGTGGTCGCGAAGCTTATCCTTGAACTGGAGGTTGGGAAAGCAGGCAGACTGAAGAGAGGAAGGCAGGAGCTGGGAAGAGCAGGGTCCTTTCACAGAGGCAGGCATGGGCTGGAGAGGTCTTCCTTCCTGCAAAGGGGGCTTGTGTGTGTTTGTGTAGGCGCCCACACTTGCAGGCTCTGAAGGCTTTCAAATGCAGTGACTGAGAACTTTTGACTATGTAACTCCAGGTCTTTGCTTCCGGAAGGAAACTTTTCTGCCATGTCTCTTGGCAGCAGCTAAAAAACTGGTGTGTGTGCTAATTCACTTCCTGTGTGGGGACACTTTCCGAGCACACAGGTTATCCCTCTGCAGAAAGTCAAACGCAATGTTCTAAATGTGGCTCCAAAATAATAATATATTTCAAGTTCTAAATGTGGCTCCAAATATAGACAGGGCCTTTAGAAGAATGAGCGTATCTTCCTGCGCATGCACTTGCACTTTTAGTGGTAAAAAGTCAGTTCTTAAGGCATAGGATCATTGATCCCAGGCACCGGGGTTGTTTGAGTGAATATCTGAAATATGCTAATGACCTAAAGGGAAATTTACACTCACCCACTTGGCAAAAGACAGAGCCCTGTCTTGTACATTACATCTTGTATATTTCTATAGTAAGAAAGAAAAATGAGGAGTCCAGTGTTTGGAAGGGGCCAGAGAAAAGAGGGCAGCTTCTATTAAAGTCAGAAGCAGTGTAGATTTGCCTTGGTGCTTAAAAATAGAGCTGAGAGGTGGGTTCTGGCTGTGTGTCTGGCACTCATCACAAAGTCTATTTCGCTTGATAGAAGATGATTTCATTACACACAGCCCTTTTCCTGTCTTCTCACCCAGTAGATCTGGCCACATATCAAAATATGTATCCATAAGATCAGACTATATGAAGAAGTCAACAGTAAATAATAAACTACACCGTTTGGAGCCCAACAGAGAAAAGCACCACATACTTTTCTGATTTATATGGACTCTTATCTAGAAAATAGGAAATGATATATTATTATTATCATTATTAAAATTACTATTATATTTAATAATACTAAAATTAGTATTATAAAAATTACTACCATAAAATGGGAAATAAAATATTAGTGTTATGGCTATTACTAATAATAACACTAGTGGTAGTAACAGTAGTAAATAAATAATGAAATTACTACTACTTTAATTACATAGCTTTTTGTAAAAATCTCTTAGATGAGCAAGCTGAAAATTTTTGGCACTATTGTAGAAGAGTCTTAACATAGATATTTTAATAATCATTTAAAAATGTAATGTACTTCCATGTTAATCTTCAAGTTTGGAGGAAACACATTCTGTCCATACCTGTGCTTTAGATTTTTTTCTTCCCTGAGAGTTCAAGTTGGAGAAGAGACCCACTCCCTGCTGCGATGCAAGAAACCTTCCTGGAGATTTAAAGATCATTTTCCAGTAGGCAACCCCTATTTTTAAATATTATTTATATCATCTTTTATGTGAGGAGAACCCTGTTTAAAATATTCATAAGTTCCTGTAGTCTGGAGGCCAGGACAATAGTTCACTGACTATTGAAGAACATTTTATTTGCTTATGAAATAGTAATTGAAAACATTACTCTCAGTTTAAAGGATTTGAAATGCATGAGCAAGGTCTAAATTGGTATATGTAGACCAGTGAGAGTAATAGTTGTGCCCTGTATAACTTGTAATGTGAACACTATTTAACAAGTGTGGTGTAGTCTTAGGAATCTATTTGGGCTTTATTTATGCATGAATGCCATCCAGACCCTTTAGAGGTACAGGATTACTGGTATACCATAGCATCTGATGAGTCCCTGATCCAAAATACATCCTGAGCAAAATGCATAGACCAAATAAATACCTAAAGTCTCCTATTAGCAGGACTCATCTCAGACCTCTGTATAATGAGCATTTTTAGGTGAGGGGAGAATTTGTCAGTATCAAACTCAAAGCCCTCATTTGCATGGCAACACCATAGACTGGAATCAAAAGGGTTTCCTGGAAGCTCTAGAGCTTCACTGGGAAAGAAGCCAGGATTTAAATCCAGTATATCTGACTTCCTGTCATCCGCAGGATGTTACTCCCCATTCCCAGTAATCCCCAAAGCAGTGGCTGATAAGTGGATGATTGACCCAGTTTGTCAACCTGTTATGCTCAGAGAGCGGAAAAGACAACATTTCTGCACTTTGTGATGAAATCCACTATATAGAAAGTAAAGGGAACTAAGAGGAAATTTTGGCTCAGCCTCTGTGCTCCAGTGTCACATTAGGCAACTTTCCAGGAATCAGCTCATTGGATGTTCATGGTGAGCCTCAGGCCTGAGCTCATTGGATGTTCAGGGTGAGCCTCAGGCCTGAGCTCATTGGATGTTCATGGCGAGCTTCAGGGATGGTCATTATTGCTTCCATTTTGGTGATGAAAGAACTGGGGCTCAGAAGCATTAAATAAGCTTGCCCCCACTTACCAGTCCTATCAGAGGCCAGGAGCACTGCAGCTGAGTTCCTACAGCTGCTGTCTTTCTTTGTAGCTCATTTGTAGAGCTAGGCTTTGGGATGAGATTAAATGAATATAGCAAGAAAAAAAAGGCTTTTGAGGAACACATCGTTTTGTTCTGTAGCAATCTCTGGCAGAAGGTATAAGAAACTTGGAAAGTAGTTATCTGTTAATGCTGAAAGAAAAAAAGTCCAAATAGAAAATGCATTTATTCATAAGAGAATAATGGTAGGAACACAGTAAGAAAATACAGATGTGTTCTAGGGGCCTTTGTACTTGCCAGTGCGTCTACAGCTTTGGTCAGCTGACAGTTAGTTACCTGAACAGAAATGAATCAAACATAGGGTTATGAGTTACGCTTGTTAACAAAAGTTGGATCTCCCTTAGGTAGCACTGAGCAATTCATTATTTCTTAGGTGGAGGAAAATTAGCTATTTCACAATTAGGCATAGATTGTATGCTTGTTCTTTGAGACATTCAGATAGAAGGACCTAAAGAATCGCATTACTGAATGACCTAGCTGAGATCACAAGTTCTGGGCTCCACTTGTTTGAGCTGATGCTTGGGTCTTGTATATCCAAGAGACTTAGCGAGAACTGCATATCCCATCTGGACTCAGGTCTCACATCTGCGAAATGACGTATAGTTGCTTGGACATGATAAAGCCTCAAGCAGGTTAAATACATAAACAGCGGTGCTTGGCATATCCTACAATGGCATGGGTGGCACTGATAAAATCTTTTACTGTGTATGAATATTTAATGTGGAAAACACATACCCCACATAGATGGTCACTTGGCAGAAACCTGGAAGAAAGTACAAATATAGGAAAGTTATTCTAAATGGCTTTATTTCCTCTGCCTTTTCCCTTGGTGCTGGGGATTGAACTCAAGGCCTCACGCACACTGTGCAAGTTCTCTGCCACTGCCCTACAACCCCAGCCCATATAGCTTCATTTCTGATGTCTGCTTAAGGAAAGTTAAGAACCTGTGAAAATACTTGTTCATATGAAAAAGTAAAGCCACAGAACTTACTCCATAATTCACAGTCCTATTTTCTAGGCAGAGTCTCCAACTAATCTATTCAGGGTCAAAACAAGCACATAGCTAAATGAAGTGCAGAGCCCTTTCCCAAGATTTCAAGCTCCTCTGAGGACTGAGTGTTCATTTCGCCCCTAAAGGGAACAGAACCAGCTGCCATGCTGGGGTGAAGACACCACCCTGCAAAGTCTGCAGCTCCCCCACCCCTGGCCAGGACTGAAGCCACATTCTTGTTTGCAGAGTGACAGTCACTCCATGCTCCCATTGGTCACATGCCAGTGCAGCTCTTTCCCTTTAGTACTGTGTGACTATTATCAGTCTATTTCATCTTCTTCACTCTTCCTCATCACTATCACTTACTCCAAGTTCTTCCTTCCTCTCTTCGTGTGTGTCGTTCTTACTGGCTCATCATTTTACCATGCATATAACTGACAAGGGAACATTGACAACATCTCTTTATCTAAAACCCCTTTATCTCAGACCACACCAAAGGAAAAACTAAGACTTTCAATGCAGGGGTTCCCAACAGGAGGGTGATGGGAGGTGATTGCCCCCAGGGACATCTAGCAGTGCCTGGAGATGTTTTGGGTTGTCTAGACTTGGAATTGTGTGCTACTGGCATTTACTAAGAAGTGACACGGATGTCACTAAACATCCTGTAATGTGCAGGGTCGTTCCCATAGAAAAGAATTTTCCCTGCCAGATCAATAGCGCCAAGATTAAAAAACCTGAACAGTAAAGAAAAATAGGCAGATTGGCCTTTGAAGTTACATCTTTCCCAATGCTAGCTGTATAACCTTTGGAAAGTAATAAAGTTGCTTTGGATCTTAGTTTGCTTTTCAGTTAACATAGTAGTAGTGGTACCTATAAGAACTGAATTCCAGGGCTGGGGATTTAGCTCAGTGGCAAAGCGCCCGCCTGACAAGCACAAGGCCATGAGTTCGGTTCCCGGTACCAGAGGAAAAAAAAAAGAAAACCAAAACCAAAAAAAAGAACTGATTTCCAAGGGCACGGGACCTTAGCAGGGACTGTTGTCATCCTGAGATGCATCTGAAGATGATGTTATCAGGGCTGATTCTGCTGTCCCATTGAGAAGGGCACTGGGTGAGCAAGTCCCTGATTCCCTGGGCTCACAAGATGGCAACAACTGTGTCAAACATTATGTCTTCACATACCCGAATCCGAACCCAAAGAATAACCTGGGAAAGTTTTCCCTTGTTTGAGGAAAGAAATACCTGGAATCCTCTTTCAGTACCACATTGAATTTCGTTGGCCAGATTTGGGTCACATGTCCATTCCTAGACCTAGCCCTGGCCCAAAGAGGAGGTTGCTGTGACCAGCTAAGACTATTTGGAAGTCATCCCCTGGTCTTGGGTAACTCACTGTGGTCACAGTTGCACGCCAGCCCCACAGACAGTCAGCAGACAGTTGTAGAAGAGGTTCCATGGGATTGGTCCAACACCTAGAGGAGCTCCAGCTGCTCAGCGGGCTCCAGGAATCAAATCTTGTCAGTTGATGTGATATTAGAGCCAGGCCTAGTTTAAATAACTACTGACCAATGTTCCATTTTTTAAGCATACATTTAAACATGCACCATAATTGTACTTCTATAATTTTTGTCTGTGGATTTCTAACATTTGGGGATGATTCTGCCAAAACATGACTGCAAAGTTCTTAGGAACCTTTCCTCCTTGTCCTCTTCGACTTCTTCCTCTACCGCTGACCTCTGCTATTTTACTATTAAGTACTTCTTCACAGGTCCCTTACTGACTGTAATTTTTAAAATATTCTAAGGGGGTTCTGGTTGCCTTGTGAGCACTCTTTTCATTTTCAGTCCATTTTATTTGCAGCTTTCCCCTTTCTGACACCTCTCCTTCTACTACTTTCTAGACCAGGAATCTCACTGTGGATGGGCGCTTTGGCCCGTGGTCTCCGTGGACGCTCTGCACACACACAGACGGCAGTGCCGTGGGATCCTGCCTCTGTCGGTCCCGCTCCTGTGACAGCCCAGCCCCACAATGTGGCGGCTGGCAGTGTGAGGGCCCCAGCATGGAGATTGCCAACTGCTCCAGGTGGGTCCCCAGAATACTCCAGTGCGTGGTCACGGGCCAGGCACAGAGTGCCCAAGGGGTTGAGAAATCATTCCTAATGCCCGCCTTCCCTGTTGTAATCAGAGGTGGCAAAATAGACAAGGACACTCACCCCTGAAATATTACAGGGTCTATGGAAGGAACTGGTGAGCTACAAATGAGATACTAACTCTGAACCTGCTCATCTGTTCCTCATTAGATTAAGAAAAATATTACTAATTTATGCAAAATGATTGGCTCGTTGGAGGGAAACATCCATGTGACTTAGGAATCTCTTTCTGTAATACATATGAAGTCACTGCTGGCAGAACATCGCACCTTAGTTGGAAGATGGAAGGGGCGGAGTCTTTCTGGGAGAGCTCTGCTGTGACCTGTGGTGTATCAGAGTCAGAGACCCTGCTCAGCCAGAATGAGTGTGATCAGCAGACACTGCAAACCACATGCCCCACTGAGGGGGTTTCCTGCAGCTTCTGCCTGTTGCACTTTTGTTTGATGTTTAGTATTTTTTTTAACAACTGTGCTGGATTTAGCTCTCCATCCTCCGCCTAGATCACAAGCATCATGGCCATCAGACTGCAGGCTCCCTCCTCTCGCATTTAGTAATTTAGGGTATTTTTAAAATCATTGCTTCCCTTTCCTGAGCCTGTCTAACTAAAGTGCACAAGCCACCAGGACAGCTGTCTGTGAACTCACTGAGAGGCAAAAACACACTCCTGCTCCTGCTCCGAGAGCCCCAGACAGGAGAGTCCTCATGCCCACACTGTTCACGGTGCGGACTGGGAGCCCCACCGAGCTGGAAGGAGCCAATTAGGGCTGCAGAGATGGAGCTGCTGTGTCTGACAGAAGACACAAGCCAGAGGAGTTGCACAGAGTCTGCTTTCTGTGCAACATGGGCTTCAGCTGGTGCTGGACAGACTCATTGTTTGAAGAACACAGTAAATAGCTATATTGGTGTATTATTTAAGTGCAAAAGGACACATCAAGTACATTACTGTGACTTGTTTATTGTCAAGTTTTCAGTTCTTGTTCTAGTTAGGAGGTCATTCTGTACACAGCCTTGCAATACAACCAACAATTAAAGATCTATTAACTGAACTGGTTTTAGCAATGCTTTAAATGCATAGATGAATTGCTTCCTACTGATTTAATTCTCAGAATGCATCTCATGGAAGATGATTACTTGATGCTACTTTTTTCTTTGCCAGCTATCTCGTCTACCTCTATGAAGCACTTAAAAGTATAGTGTACACCCAGGTCCATAGAGTAAGAACATATATATAAAATTGCACTCAATTATTCCCTCACTTACTGTATACCACTTATATACCTTTATGTACTGATAGTCCCGCTTAAAACATACTATGTGCATTGTAAGTGGACGCTGTCAAAATTTTATCATTTTAAAAGCTTTCAGAAATTCAGAATTTCCAAGCAATTTTGAAAGCAATGTTTTTCTGTATTATTTAATAATTTTACTCCTTGATTAATTCCTTTTATTACTTGGATAACCTACAAGAGTGTAGCTAGAAGGATATGAGAAACTAACATTACTTTTATGAGAAACATGAAGGGATCTCTTACTTAGATGAAATTGTCATAAAGCAACTTTATTATAACATGCATAAAGCTATCATTATATAGGTTATTTATGGCACTATTTTGGTAAATAAAATGGTGAAATATTAAGCATACTAAAAATTTTCTTGAAAGTATTTTCATTTCAAATTATTTTCAAATTATCTACTAAACTTACTTATAGCCATATCTTCAATGACATTGTTGTGGATTTTTCATGTCTTTAAAAGAATATATAGATAAACATGAGACTTAACATGCACTGATTTTTTTCAAGATGCATATCCTATGGTTGGAAATACCACATACCCATGGGAATGCATATGTGACAGCACACGTAGAAAAACATTCCGTATGTGGTAGGCCATCTCTGAGGGAATTTAGAGTCTGCCCTGAGTAGAATATTCTAATACTTAAAATTCTAAAATATCAACTATTTATTTTTAATAGCCAGAAAAACTGCTAAGGAAGATATTTAAATTATAAACAGTCTGAATATAGGTATTTTAAGGAAAATATACAATACTTTTCCTCTAGCTGTCAATAGTGGTTTCTTTTATAAATAAAAACTATAAAATTTGTCCATTTTCTTTTTATTTTTCAGTCATATACCTACATTATTATATTTCTGTAATAACATCCATACATATAGATTTATGGAATTTATACTCCTTATTTGAGGTCTTAGTAATCTTGGACAGTTCTCAAGAAAATAGCCAAGAATCTGAACTTAAATAATCTGTTCATTTAAACAAAGTTTGCTTTTGAGCTGGAAGACGGCACTCCTTATCAAAATGAATGTCATCAGGAGACTTGCTGTTGTTAATGGATTTGAAAGAATGTTGTGTATAGTTTTAGATGCTTATTTTGTCCAGAGGTGTACTTTGCATAGATTATAATGGATATAACACAAGTCAAATAAGCCCACAAACTCTAGAGGCTTAGGGATTCATTTCTAAATGCTTTCTTACAAAATAATATTATTCTATAGTGGCTTGCCATTTTCATAACAAAAGTGTTTCAAGAGTATCAGATATAGCACATTTTAAATACACTTCAATATATAGCACATTTGCAATACACTTCAAATTGGATTCTCAAGTTTCCTGTCCTGACTTCAAAATCAAATACTGGGGGAGAAGGGGTGGGTGCAGGGACTCTCGTTAACTGAAAGGAAGTCAACAGTGGCTCAGTCTGTCTGGTCCCAAAGCTGGTGTTTCAGTCAGATGTTCCACCATGGTCTTGTACATTTATTTGCACTGGGTCCAGACAGGGCTTGTACCCTAAATCAGTGTCACAGAGAGACCATTTTGCTCCTCTCCCCCAGGAATGGAGGCTGGACCCCCTGGACCTCCTGGTCGCCCTGCAGCACCACCTGTGGCATTGGCTTCCAGGTGCGGCAGCGGTCCTGCAGCAACCCCACGCCAAGGCATGGCGGCCGGGTGTGCGTGGGACAGAACCGCGAGGAAAGGTATGTGCCTGGTACACCCCGCATTGCCATCCTCATGCCTCTTCCATTCGAGTGTGGTCAGTTGTGGTTTTGTATCTAGGTTAACTTGTGCGTGGCATCTCTTAACTCAGTGGAATCGTCCTCTTCTTTTTAACAGCACCACTCTTGCATGAGTCCTCCGATGATTGTCTCAGCTGGGCAATTCCAAGGCACACAGAACCAGGGACTGCAGGCTGCTCTGTACTAGCTCTTAGAGACAGCGAGTCTACTAGAGAAGGATTATCCCTGAGATTTCAGCTACACTATCACCACAGCCTACAGTTCCCAGGGAGGCGGAAAGTTCAAATCCCACTACTGCTGGGCAGGTAGGGTAAGGATTCCATCAGTGCTAAATGCAGGGTTAGAGTGCAGGTGAGACTCTACTCAACACCTGGTAATGCTTATGCCCACACTGAGCTCTATTATTGGACTCCCACCCCGAAGCTGCTGTGTAACCCACAGGGAGAGCCTTCCCGTGTGAATTTTACCCTCTCCGCATATCACAGCCACATTTCAACTCAGTCTTAGATCTAACAATCTATTTCTTTGTATAAAATGCTGATTTTAGCCTCAGATCTACATGTGTGATCACTGAGTTTCTTGGCTGTTTAGTTTGGCACTATGGGAAGAGAAAACAAGGAGGTAAATTTCCACAAAGGTTTTAGAATTGGAGGTCTGCCTTACTGACATCGACTTATTGAATGGCTCTCTACGCCTTTTAATGAAAAGTTAGTAGACTTTTATTTGGTGATGAGTTCAGCAGAGTGTTTTATAAAAGTGCTGTATACAGTTCTTTGTGATGCAGGTAGCACCCACACTGTACCAACAAAATCAACAAGTTTACTGTCCAGATAGATTAGGCAGAGCACTTCCTTTCTTTCTTCACTGTGTTCCTCATTTACCAATTAAGATTTTATTCCTTTTGATGAATAGGGAAAGGAAGATGGTTCTTCCGTGCAGAGTTTGTCGTGTTGAAGCAGTCCCCTGAGACGGTCTTATTCGGGCTGTCATTTTCCATCTAACACCATCTGATAAGTGGGAAAGCCAATTATAGAAGAATTGTCTCCTTGCCATTTCCAAGCCATGTAAGATTTAAAATTGGTCAGAAGTTTTTAAATTCTGGGAGCTGTCACATCATGCAGCCTGCTTGGGCAGAGTCACTCAGGCGCTGCCACAAGCCTGACAGGTGCCACCCTGTCTCCCAGCCTGAGAACACGAAGGGGGAGGTGCTCAGCCCTAGCTAATGTACACCCGTGTTCTGTGTCTATGCAGGCTTGTTCAGAAAGCTGTATTTTCAGAAAGAGATTGGGAGAAATGGCTAGTACGTTTGGAGACTTTTTATACCTACCGTGTTCCTTATTTACAGAAGCAAGTTTATTAGAGTTCTGTATTTGTTTAATGAAGGAAATTTTGAGTTTGAGTAATAAAAAAGATGAATGGTAGGAATGAAGACCATATAAAATTTTATATGGATTCCTCTACTGAATTACTTTTTTAAAGGTTTACCAGCAGGTTCATGAAAACCTTGGTCTTAACAGAACTTGGTTTTCAAAAGCAAAACATTTTGCATTCCTTCCTATGCTGCATGGGAGGCCTCTCCACCCAAATTCTACAAAAGAAACACCATCCTGATTCTGACGATGGACATATTTGAGAATTAAATTAGAAGAAACCGTAATAGGAAATGGTTAAGCACATCACACTTATTTAAATGTCATCAAACCTACAGAAGCTCTGTGTGATCACAAGGGAATGAACTGATTCTCAAAGACAATCCCTAAGTTCATGCTAGAATTATACTTAATGACTTCATCTGGGAGAAAGTCTCCAGTCATGGGCTAGTTCAGTGGGAACTTATTTGTAACAAAAATCTCAAAATTTTCACATTACACTTTTTTCCCCAAAATGGTAGGTAGAAAATACCTCATTTAATTTACACGTGTGTTGTCCAGTCCATGAACACTGCTTCTCTTTTGTAAAATTTCCTTGGAAACGATTTTCTTCTGTAGTAAGCACTGAGTAGAAATACTCATTCCTATTTAGGCTCTGAGCAAGATGGAAGAACTGGACCATGGTGTAGATATTCTCCAAGTGCAAATCTGATGATCTATGTTGGTGCTTCCCTGCTATGTAACAATAGTTCCACAAACTGGAGCAACATGTATTCACTATCTTATAGTCTCCAAGGGCACCTGTCCTGGGTGGCCGCTGCAGCCTATGCTACGGACTCAGCGGGTAACAGTCAAGGCCTTAGTCAGGTCTTGGTCCCATCTGGGACTAGATCACGTGGTTGTTGTCAGTATTTGGGATGACCATGTTGAGGAATTCAAACCTCCTACTTTTTAGTCAGGCGTTGCACAGTTTCTTGAACAGTGCTCTGCGTTCTGTTAGAAGTCACTCATAAGCCCTGGCCGCACTCGGTAGCAGGAATTTACACAGGATGTGGATACCGGGTCACACTACAGTCTGTCTGCCACTGATCATCCCTGTTTCCCAGTCTCTCATGTCTCCCACGTGCAAAATCCCTTTTCACCTCTTGCCATAGTCCAGAGTTCTGCCATTTAAATCACTCTCAGGTGTGCGTGAGGCTCCCTGGGTGAAGCGCATCTTGCTTGTCGCTCTCTAAAACAAGAGGCAGGTTACTGACCCCTAGCACTCAGTGTACAGTGTCGAGGCAGACGGGTGGTGGTGATGGACATTCCTATGCAAAAACAAGGAAAGTGGAAGTTATAGAAGAATCACTGCTTCTTAGAAATTGTGAAATCTCGCCAGGTGAGTGTTGGAGTTGCTTGATTAAGGTCAGGCCACAATGCCCTGTGGTCCTGGGATCTTCTTCTGGGCGCTGAACTCTGCTCCCTGAATCAGCCTCACTTTGTCATGAAGCAGCAGGTGCCCAAGTGCTCACAGCTAGATGATCTATCTGCCTGTGCAGCTTCTTCTTGTATTAGAGCTTTTGCTTTCCAGAAGCCTTTCACTTATGCTTTCTCTGTCCCTTTTGGTCTAAGCTTGTAGTACTATTACTGAAATATACTACGGGTCTTCTCAGATTTCTCTGGGGTTCATGGGTATCTTTAGTTGCACCTCTATGGCTGCCTGGATGTCTTGAATTTGTTCATATCATGAACCTCTCCTGGTCATTCTGACTTCGGGGAAGAGGCAGAAATGACACGGTGCCTGACCAGTGAATAAGGAGGATGAGGGCGCACGGTAATGTTTTACTTTGACAGAAATTGCAGTAAATAATTTGAATTGATTCAACCCATCAAAGCAAGCAGAAGAACAACATGAATGGTTTCCAGAACTGCTTTCAGAAGGTGACAAAAATGATGGGATAAGTGTGCTCCAAGCACGGGAGAGTATTTTGAAGAGGATTAATGGCAACCTTTTTAACTGTAAGATTTCTTTTTAAATTTGAATATTCAACATATATTTTGATCACCTTTTGTATATATTATATGTGTGTAAGGTATGAATATACACATATATAATATACACATATATTATATGTGTATAAGGTATTAAATACCTTAGTGTATTCCACTAAGAAAAGCCACACTCACAGATGTCTAGGCAGCTCTTTTCTGCCTCAGGGTCCTGCAGAGGTGGCTGAGACACAACCCCTCCAACCTTTGGGGGGCCCTCTGCTGTGGTGGAGAGCATGTGGGAGACATTCTTGCTCTGGCCTCTTTTTTATTTTAAAGAGAATTTTAAAAATAACAAAGTAACAACAACATAGACCAAAACAAAACAACATAAAAACAATAAAAATGATACAGGGTTTCAAAACAAAATGATAGGAATTAACAGTGGTTTTTATAGTACATATTGTTATCTTCAACGATGTTGCTCAGATTACCAGATGTAAGAATCCAACATTTAAAGAGAATAAAAAATAATAATAAAAACTCTTTGGAGGAATCTTGAATGACTACAGATTTCTCTTTGATGTTTGTCTTCCTGAAGTTTAAAGGAGATATTATTTAACCATACCCTCAGCTTTTCTTCTATGCCAACTTTTCCTCACAGTGCCTGGGAGGTGTTTCTGAATTTTAGTGTCTTTTGCTATCAGAAGAAGTCAATTTCCAAAATGATCCAGCCCCTGTTCCTTTTGTTTAAAAGTTAATCTTCCACTTTGCTGTTTATTCCCGCCCCTTCTGTAAGCAGCAAGAAGAAATCAGGCAATACCTTCAACACTTTTCTTGGAAACTTCCTTTGCTGTGTAATTCACATCACACTTATGTGTTCCACTTCTTGTATTGCAGGAGGCATAATGCTTTCAAGATTCATCAGTGCTGTAGCTTGTATCAGACTTTCTTTCCTTTCTTACATCTTAATAATACTTCACTGTAGGGGTGCAGCTGCACTTTGCTTATTTGTTTACCCATCTAGACTCTTGGGTTATTTCTACCTTGCGTCTCTTGTGAATGTGCAGAAGTGTGTGAGAGTTCCAGATGTCCACCTTCTCTGTGTTATTATGTTCTTGTTTTTGTTTGCAGCCATTGTAGAAGGTGTGAAGTGGTTCTCGCTGTTTGTGAGGGAATCTCCTTTATAGCTCAGTATTGGTGAGCATGTTCATCTGGATGAATTGTCAGTTTTATTTGAAAAAAAAAAGTCCTTTATCCATTTGCTAATCCTGTTGGATTTTGCAGTTCTTTATCCTATTTACTTCTAAACTTTCACTAGCTGTGCCCTCAAATACCAAAATAAATCCAACTAATTCTGTACAAACTGGTTTAAGTTTTCTGTGCTATGCTGCTCAAAATTTTTGCTACTCCTCATTCCCTGGTCACCAAAGCACTCTCACACTTTTAGGTATTTCTTGAATTGGCACCATACTTCAAATCTGTTTGAGTTCTTGTCCTGTGACAGTGTCACCACAAACACAGCTGTTCAAAGCACCATGCGATTATTTGCTTGTGGCTTCTGTGAGCTTCTAGCCTGGACGCAGCTCCAGGCTGGCTCAAGGCTACAGGGAAGGGCAG